GAATTGGAGAACTGACTGGTAGTGTGGAAAAAACACACACTGAGCCTGGACCTGAGGGCTTTCCTGGAACATGGGATTTTAAATGCTAAGACCAGGAAAGTCCTGGGCAAACCTGGACATATTGGCCACCCTACCTACTGTACTTGAATTGCAAACTTATTTAAACACAGGCGGCTGACAAAACCCAGCCGTGTTAAACAGCTGTGCTTCGGAACATTTGACTCTGACCTGAAGTGCGTGAGGATTTGGTTTCTCCACCATCTCTGCCCCTCGGCCCCTGCTGGTTTCTTTAATGCTCTCCCGGTCAGAAGACACTGGAGAGATCCATGGAAATACCTCTTCACCTCCAGCCCCTAGTCTCTATTTCTTCCACATCTCTGGTCAACAGACCTCCCCTCACTACTGCAATGGGGATCTCAAATAAAAGCTCAGAAAAAAAAAATCACCCCACCGATTAGCAATATTGTCTTTGAATAAAGACATTTGCATAAGCTTTATATTACATGAACCCAGCGGTTCTCACACCTGAACGTGCATGTGTGCGAATCACACATGGAAGACTTGTTAAAACACAGATTCCCAGATCGGATCCTCAGAGTTCCTGATACTGTGCATCTGAAGGAGGACCCCAAATCTACATTTCTTTTTATTTAAGCTGACTTATTTATTTTGAGTGAGAAAGAGAGAGCAGGAGCAGGGGAAGTGTAGAGGGAGAGAGAGAGACAGTCCCAAGCAGGCTCCACGCTGCCAGCGCAGAGTTGGATGCAGGGCTTAATCTCAAGAACCGTGGGATCATGACCTGAACCGACATCGAGTCAGATGCTTAACCAACTGAGCCACCCAGGCTCAAATCTACATTCCTAACAAGCTCCCAGGTGACGCTGGGGGGCTGCGGGTCTGGGGACCACACCTTGAACATCACTTCATTCAGAGAAAGAGACTATAGCATTACTCGGCCAGTCTTCTCCAGAATGAAAGGATTTAAAAATTCACACTGCGACAAAACATGCTCGCTTTTTCCCTTTGGTGGTTTTCTGCACATAACCTTCTGTTTCACTAGAACCTGCCACCCCTTGGGCCGAATGCCCCAGATCAGAGCTAACAAGCGTCTGATCGTGGGCAGGGGGAGCTTAAAAGAAGCAAAGGTCCTCAAGCTGAGGGCTGCTCACTCAGGAGGGCACAAGCCTCGTTATAAAACAGCTGGTGTGTCTGGTTCTGGGGCAGAAGGAAATCACACCTAAAACTTCTCTCTGCTGAGAAGGAAAGCAAACCTGACTCCCTGGTCATTGTGCTGACTTCTCTTGTAGAAGTAGCATAGCAGGTAAGGCTTTTAGCCAGCCAGACACCTGCAGCCTTCAGAAGCCAAGCATCCAGCCCTGTCACATCTTTTTGTATATATGTATAGTTTATTTATTTTGAGAGAGAGAGCACAAGCGAGGGAGGGACAGAGAGAAAGGGAGAGAGCAAATCCTAAGCAGGCTCCACACTATCAGCCCAGTGCCCGACGTGGGGCTTGAACTCAGGAATGGAGATAAAATGACCTGAGCCAAAATCAGGAGTTGGGTCCTTAACAGGCTGAGACACCCAGGTGCCCCCCCTACCATTTCTTAATAGGCACATCTAGAACCTAAGGTCACAGAATGCTCTCAAGCAGTGCCAAGTACGTGAGTGCTCTTCATGGTAGATTCAGTATGTGGTTAGAAAAACACACAGGAGGGGCGCTTGGGTGGCTCAGTCGGTTGAGTGTCCAGCTTTGGCTCAGGTCATGATCTCGCAGTTCGTGAGTTCGAGCCCCGCATCGGGCTCTGTGCTGACAGCTCAGAGCCTGGAGCCTGCTTCAGATTCTGTGTCTCCCTCTCTCTCTGCCCCTCCTCCACTCATGCTCTGTCCCTCTTTCTCTCAAAAATAAACAAATGTTAAAAATTTTTAAAAAGAAAGAAAAACATGCAGGACCCCACCCCTACCTTACCACCTCTGCTAGCAAGCCCATCCTGCCTCCCTACCTCCCCATTACAAGATAAAAACTGTGATCTAGTTCAGGCTCTCAGGATATCAGGACCCATCTTGACCTCTGGTGCAGGAAGAGTGAAGTATTTCCCACAGTGTTGGCTGGGTCTCTGACATTAGAATCCCCTGAAGTGCTTGTTAAAAACTCCAGGCCTCGTCCAGAATTTCTGGATCAGAATTCCAGCGTGTGCAGGGCCTGGGCACTGGGTTTTTTACACTGCGTGATGGTACACACACTGGTATGTTCTCTACAATAGAACATAAATCACCCCAGAACTGGCATACCACACACCTCACAAGAGACCCCAGAAGTCAGAAGAGCAGCTGGGGGCCAAGAGGGTATAAGAGGCAGGAGAGTGTTGGTGTCTTCGCAGGGAACAAGGCATTGACCGCATATGTTCATGAAGCACACTGAAATTTTCACAATAGAATTAAAATCATACCGAGCTGCGCAGGCTATGATTTGTATACTTTTCTTTAAAAGTTTCCTTAGAAAAGAAAACAACATAAAAGTGACTTTGGGGTCCCCAACCTCCCCACCTGGAGCTCTGCGGCTCTTGAGTCTACAGCTGCCACCATCCACACGCACTCCCTCCTGCCCGTCATGTCCCTCTGGTCTCCTTCCCAACACATAAGTCCTTTACACCCAATCCAATCAAACAAAAGAATAATTTCCATCTATTGCAATGCTGGATGGCAGAGAGGAGCATTTTAAACAGACTGCGAATAAACATAGTATGTATATGGATTCAGAGATTTTTTTTAAATGTTTGTTTATTTTTGAAGGCGAGAGAGACGGAGTGTGAGCAGGGGAGGGGCAGAGAGAGAGGGAGACACAGAATCCGAAGCAGGTTCCAGGCTCTGAGCCGTCAGCAAGGAGCCTGCCGCGGGGCTGAAACTCCCGGGCCGTGAGGTCATGACCTGAGCTGACATTAGACACTGAACCGACTGAGCCACCCAGGCGCCCCGGATTCAGAGATTTCTTAGGTGCTCTAACTCCATCTGCAAGCCCAGTCACCCCCCACACTTTGCTGTGAGGAATTAGGGTTTTCTGGCGGGCTGGCTGGGTCAGCACAGGTGCCTAGGCCAGTGGGACTGGGCCTGGGAGGCCACCTGGCTACTTTGAAGCCAACAGCATGGCTCTGCTTGTAGCTTCATGTATCCCTGTGTGCTTTCTTCAGCCCATTCCTCTTCTTCCGGGAAGTCCTCCCTGTGCATGCTAATGCCCTGTCCCCTGGTTTTTGCTGTTCCTGAGACCCTGGAGCTTGTCTTCATGGCCACGTTGTGATGTCACCTGGTCTTCCTGAACACACACAGATTTAGGGTGATGCAAAAAACTGCTTTGTGGGGCGCCTGGGGTGGGGCTTGGTCTGTTGAATGTCTGACTCTTGATTTTCCTCAGATCGTGATCTCACGGTTTGTGGGACTGAGCCCCGCATCGGGCTCGGAGCTGTTGCGGAACCTGCGGCGGAGTATCTCTCTCCCTCTCCCTCTGCCCCTTCCTCTCTCTCAAAAATAAATAAATAAACTTTAAAAAAAACGAAGAAAAAGAAAACGCTTTGTATTTTAGGCTGACTCCCAGATAACTTCTGTATATTTAAATTCTTCTGACTCAAAATATGAGGTTTATGGTCAATAATCCTTGAACTTAGTGAAACCAAAAGATATATTATAAAGGCCAAAATTACAAAATACTTCGATCATTTCTGTAAAACAAGGGGAAGAAACTGTTAGATTTCTAACAATCCTCCCAACACTGACCCCATTAATGATAATAATGATATTAATAGATACCATTTATTGGGCACTGTGTATGCTGGGCACGATATTTAGTACTTTGTATAGACTGCAGGAGGCGCTGTTTAACCAGCCAGGTTAACTGTCTTCTCCAGGCCCAACCAATGCTTGTGGCTGCCGGTGCTCACACCTAACTTCTGCTCCACTGGCCCTGACAAGCTTACCAAGAACCAGTTTCTGACAGCTGTGCTTGCTTTGGTAACGGTGACACTGAAATATTATAGACATTGATGAAATAAGAATACACAAAGAAAGGAAGTTATTTCTCTGAAAGCAAAATGGAACATTTCGGAAAGATTCAACCACAGGAACTTAGAATCGGTGTGGACAGTAAACGTTTGCAAAGAGTCTTAGCGGAACAATTATTGGAATTTGAATCGCTGCGCAGGAGTGACTTTACACGTGTCTCCCCTGGTGTCCTTAAGCTCCCATTCTACTGCAAGAAACCAAAACCAGAACTCACAGAAGAAGCATTATGCGTGTGCCTTATGCAAGACAGCTCAAAACCCGCCAGCTGGCGGATCCAGATTCAAAGAAAAGACGATGGCCCTACATTAAAGACTGGGAAATGCTATATTTTAAGGTGAAATATTTGAGACGCGCATCATCTTTTCTGATTCTCTGCTGTAATAAGCTTCTTCCATGAGCTCTCCAGTCCCAATCTTTCAAATGAGAGGCTTTCCCCGTATTTGATTTAATCTCCACAGTAATCTTGAGAAGTTGGTTTAATTATGTCCACGTTAGAAAAGAGGGAAATGGAGTTTAGAGTAATGTAAACGACGCATATCAAATAGCTCCACGTGGCAGAGCGGAGCTCCAGCGTCAGCATCACTACTTCCCATCACTGTGCGCTAAGCCTGCGTCCGGCTCCCAGACTGCGCTCTGCGTGCTCGCCAGCTAAGGACACGCTGTGTCCACACCTCGGTGTGAAGCACCAATGTCTCGTCTTCAGTCCCCTCCCTTCCCAAAGCTCTTTGATGACTTGATATAATGATCTACAGTCTACCTATTCGTCATAGATGAGATTGACAGTTTGTGAAAAGAAAAAAAGATTGGCTTCATGGTCAACACTGCCCACTTCACTTTTACAAAGAGAATGCCAGGGACCCGAATGGCGTTCCAGAAAGGCCCGGGGAACCCAGAGAGACCTCTTCCCGCGGGCAGTCTGAGTGACCCCGGCGCGCAGCGGGCCTTACCTGCGGCGGTCACGTGGTCAAGTGCGGCAGGTGCGGCCAGAGCGCAGTCCCGGGGGCTACTCTGAGCTCCGCTGTTCCGGGGTGGTCGCCAGGTGGGATGACTCGGCTCGATTTTCCCAGCCCTGAATTCCTAACATAGCAGAAGGGGAATGGGACGGTGAAACAGGATCTGTTCAGGACAACGGGTCAGCACCGAGTGTCGGAAATGGAGACTCACAGGGAGAAAACTGAAGTTTAGATGATGGTATTGGGGTGGGGGAGGGAATTGCCCCCGAATACCGACGGGATTGTTCCTAGGCGTTGCAAGCATTACTTGTGTCCTTTACTTTCCCAAACTGTGCTGAGATGTTGTTCCCCCTTCCCCTGGCTGTGCTTCCCCCGTTTTCTTCCCTCATTCCGAGTCTCACCCACACTTTGTAAAGAAAGGACTGCAGTTCTGGGCTCTTCCCCTGCACCAAACGAAAGGGCTCTGCCCAGAGTGGTTTCCCCCGTGGCGCCACTAGATGGCAGCATCACTCAATGGGCGGATTCCAGGCTCGCACACAGCTGCAGCTGCAGGCCTGCCTTCCCTAATGCTGTTAGAGCCGCGTTTAATCTAAGGATGGGACACTGTGTTCCAGGCCAAGCAGCTCCTTTGTGACTGACTGGTGCACCAACAGCTAGAGCTCTCACGCTGACGCCCCTTTCTGCTCAACAAACACCATCGGTCCTGAAAGGACCGGTTTAAACTCTCAACCAAACTGTTGATTTATTGCTAAAACAAAACAAACAAAAAACTGGGAATAATAGTACTTGCAAATTTGACAGCCTCCCCTCCCCCTCCCGTTCCTCCTTCCCTGGACTTCCCAGAAATCTGTTTATCAATAATTATTTATTGTCTGGCCTTGTGTTTGCCAAGGTGGGTAATAAAAGAACAAAGAAAAAAAACTAAAAAAAACTAAAAGAAAAAAGTTACATTTTCAAAGCTTTAGGTGTCCATTGTTATGCTAATAAATGTTTATTGGCTATTTCTCTGTGCCAGACATTGAGGTGACTATTACACAGACCATCTCACTTGATTCTTACAACAAACCTAAGTACTCCTATTATGACCCCCGTACTAAGGATGGGGAAACCAAGGCCCAGAGACACAATCTTGCCAAATGTCATGCAATTAATTGGTGGCAGAGTTAGAGTTCAGCCACAGGCAGGCTAATGTCACAACTTAGACTCTTAGCCACCATGCTACGCAGTGGGCAAGCTTGGGAAATCCAATTAGGACATACGCAGACGATGTAACCAAAGAAGTACGTCAGAGCGGAAGGTTGAAAGAAAAAGTGGAGAGAAGGAAAAGCGATGCCCTTGAGAAAACAAGAAGAATGAAGCTAACACAAAACCCTCTCTGGACTGGGCCCACCGGGCACGCGTGGTGACCTCTGAGAATGCAGTTTCAACAGTGACAGAGAAGGCAAGCCAGAACACAGGGCTATGGGGCTACGTGGAGAGAGGAAATTGAGATGTCTTGCTGCAATAGGAAGGCAATAAATAGACTAGAAGAGAGACAGCAAGGTCACGCAAAGGCGTTCCGGTTTTCTTGCGTGCTTTTTAGAATAGAATAGAGTCTGGGCACGTTTGAAAGCAGTTGCAAGGGAGGCTTGGGTCTTGCAGGTGGTGGAAAGTGGAAGAGGAAGAGGCAGAAACAAAAACAAAAAGAAACCTACGGGGGTGGGTGGTCCGGGGCACAGAGGAGGAGGGAGAGGAGGGAGAGATGCCCCCTTTTGTCTGAAAGTGGGAGACACCACAAGGATGGATATACATTAACACACACATGAGAAAGATGGGCAAGTTTAATTCTTCCAAGTTAGCCATCATCCTTCCCTAAAGCCAGAGTTCAGTTATCTGCCAGAACTGGGAATGAGACTTGAGAGGACATTTTCTTATGCTGAGCTAATCCATATAGTGCTTAGAAGGACCAGAAAGCAGATAAAACTAAGTGAGGCAACAGAGGCGGCTGGAGAAGGGAAATCCCTGCCAAATCTCACTGGGGACCCGGGACTGAATTACCCGCTGCAAGGGCAGGAACACAGCCGATACTATATATGACCCCTTATGTTTAAAGTTTCTTCTGTATTCAGGTTTTAAAATATTTGACAGAGAAATAGTGCCTTCTTCATTTGCCAAATGGGAAACTTAAAGTGCAGATAAGCTCTCCCGGTTTGGCTTAAAACCACAGAGAAGATCAGGGACAGAATCCAAACTCGTGCCCAGGATCCAACTCCGACTCTATCAAACACTTCCTACAAAGGGGTGGGCACAGCCAATGGCCCCACAGAGTTCCAGACACAGCACAGACTTGGGGAGCAGCCACATTAAGATGTGGAGCCCGACAGGGCTAAGCTTCTCCTAAAGTGGCCTTGGGTCGCAGCACAATTCTTCTGGGAATTAGGGAGTTTCTTTGATAGTTTGATTGCAATATTGATACACTGATGACATGTTGTCCTTCACACACCATCATTATTTAATTTTATTGTTTGATGACCCAATTTTCATTCTTAATTAATATTTCCTTATCTGCAAAAGTACATTACTGGGGCTGATGTAAGTAAAAAAATCAAAAAGTATAATTACTTCGTCTGCATTACTGATGAAAAAGGCAACAGGCAGTACTAAATCAATCAACAGCTCACGTTCGCTTTAGACTCAGGAAATGAGAACAAATAGTCACCGATCAAATGGCTTTTCTCCAGTGTGAGCATTTTCAGAGGCCCCTCCTCCTGCGATTGGAGCATTGTCTAGGCAGGAAACTTACCTAAAAGGGAGGGTTTCTCATTTCCTCCCTCTCCTCTTCTTTTAGGAAATCCCTCCGGGTCTAGGCCAAACCCTGTCCTGATTTTCCCCTCCAAAAAAGAAATAAAATCGTCGGCCTGCTCAGTCACAGATTGGGAATACCAACTTCTCATTCAATCGTTGTTCATTCTTCACGTGTTTGTTGATATCTTACTTACCACAAGGCACAGTGCTCGCCAGGTGACACAATACTCAGACTGTGCTCTCCAGGAGAGAGGAGAGAGAGGAGCTGAGACATGGTCTCATGAGTCCAGAGAGAGGAGCCCACAAGGAGCATGGAGTCAGGGGGGAGTCCATCAGGATACCCTTCACAAAGGAAGGAGCATCCGTCCCCGGGCTTACCAGAAACAGAGCTCAGCAGAGGGAGACAGAGAAGAAAAGCATTCCAGGAGGCAGGTGCAGCGCGGCTTTGGGAGCCCAGGTGGATGACCCGGATGCATCAGGGAGCCTCGTGCTTCCCAGACTCTTCCAGAAGCCGCCAGCAGCAGTGGCAGAGCCCAGAGCTGGCTCTCCTCAACCTTCAGCACTGTGTGCTTCCCATTCTACTGTGTATTTGTCTGTTTTCTTAGAAAAAGCCATGGTCATTTTGCACATCTTTGCATAAAGTAAATGCCAGAGGGAGAAGCACCGAGTTTATTTGTTGGCTTCAAATACCATCTAGCACAAGGAAGCAGGAGCCTGGTGATAGCCAGGTGGGGTGAGTGGAATGAAGGCTCTCCGGTTTGACAGACTCTGGGACAGAAAGTTACTGTCAGTTGTTTCCTCGTCTAACTGACTGGCTGTCCTGCCTTTCTTTTTCCTGATTTTATTACTTGACGGTCATTATCAATACCGGAATGTAAGAATAAGTTACAACTCCTCCTTAGGTAGCCTGAGATGATCTCTGGAAATGGTTCTCTACTCTCTTGACCCAGAAAACCTTGACCAATCACGCAAATCAAGAGGTTCAAATCTCTGTGTTCACTTTGAGAACAGCCATGAAACAGCCCAGACGATCGAAAGTATCTGAAAAGTCACTAAGTCCCTGAAAGGTGTCACTTTACAGAAGCAATGCGTGCCACTCCATCGTGACTATGGTGTGGAGTTCAGGCCAGACAGTGGGACTAGACACAGGTCAGTGGCCCCAAAATAGTACTACCCATGCTGAAAAATACAGTTGAGTAATGCTGAACTTAAGAAGTTAGATATTGATTCATTGATCATTGAGCTCATCCAGGTGGACAAGGCCCCAAAAATGTGCCTCCGGATTTACAGAGCTCAGGGTCAGGTTAAACTCCTCCTGCTGCACTGAGATGATCCTTACTGAGAAAGAACAGATTACTGCACTGAAGAAAAAGATATCCCAGAAGAAACTGATAAAAACAAAAAACTTATGGGCCAGGAGTACATTCAGCATAAAATAAATGTCAATAAAGGGTTTTTGGTGTTGTTTTTTTTTTTTTTTGAGAGAGAGAGAGAGGGTGCAAATGAGTGAGGGGCAGAGAGAGAGAGAGAGAGAAGTGAGGCTCACCTGAAGCAAGGCTCACCACCAGACGCGGGGCTCGTGCTCCCTGAGGCAGGGGTTGAGCTCACCCAACGTGGGGCTCGAACTCACAAACCATGAGATCATGACCTGAGCCAAAGTCAGATGCTTTAACCGATTGAGCCACCCAGGCGCCCTCTGGCCAGTGAAGGTTTTACTAAAAGTTCAAGGTTAAGACTTCTACTATCTGACATATGAATTACACCCACACCATCACTCATACCCCTACTTCTGAAAAATTATCATCAATGCCTATAAACTCTTTCAACCTAACTGGTTAAATCTACAGCAATCAATGAACTGTGTTGAACGACAGTGTTTAAGAGAATCGCCTGAATGCGGAAAATGCCCCGTGCTACCTTACCTGATCCAGGCAGTGAGGAGCTCCGCGCCTGCCTCCTCCACACTCATCCGGATAGAAGATGAATGTAACTAATCCCAGGAACATCACCGTCCTTTAAAGGAGCCTGGGGCCGGCCAAACTGCATTTTTGTCCTTGAGGATGAAACACGGAGTGAATTAGAGTTTTATCACAAGACGGAAATAGATAGTAAGACCTCTTTAGGCTATCTACCCCTGATAATTGCTACAGATACATTTCATGCAGGTTTGCAAACTCTGAAAATTCCCACATTAGTTTCCTATTTTGCAAGGGCCCGGTGAGAAAGCTACGCGCACTTTATTGTCGAAGACAATAGACAGCAACGCGAGAGGCCTCATCAACCCCATAGATAGGACCATAAGTCACTGCCCCTGCTTTTAACAGCCCAAAGCATTCTTATGCTGTGTGTCACTTGGTCCTCTAGCTCTGAGGAGGGGGTCGTTCTCATGCTCCTCGACAAGTTGGGAAACTGAGGGGCAGGCAGAGTGAGTGGGGGCCTTGCCAGGAGTCTCAAATCTAGTTGGTGGGACTGGAGTCTCCGAGTTTGGCTTCCTCTCCTGCCTTGACCAGCCAGCGGTTCTGTGGATTCTCCAGATCATCTCTTCAGGCCATTCTCTGTGGCCTTTCCCTCCTCCCATCCCTTCCTTCTCCCGCACCTTCCTTGTCTCCAATTTCTTTGTCGTGGACATTGCCTAGTATATTCCTTCTTCTTAAACGGCCTTAAGGCTGAATTTCCTCTTCCTTCAGTTTTACATTTAAGGCAGAATCCCACCAAGTGACAAATGTGTAGGCATTTTATGACACAATTTCAGGCACAGTTTTACCGACAGAACAGTACACCCATGGCCAACAGTGCTTGAATATGTGTTGTGCTTCTGTTATTAGAAATCCAGCCGGTTATTGGGACAGTTGACTCTTCCTTGAGGGACTGGAGAAGGCTGTTGTAATAGGATGTCTTTTATACAGCCCACGACAGGTACATTTCCACAATCTGTTGTTGGTCCCATGATCCCAGCCTCCATCACAGCTTCCTGTGCCTTTTAAAATATTGCTTATTTAGGTCCTCCAGAAAAGAACAAGAGAAGATGGTTTTATCAACACGTCTATGTCCAGGAATGAACTCTGCGGGCTTTAGGTCACTGTTCCTTCAGGAGACTCTACATTGGATTGTCCCCAGAAAGATACAGAAAGTAGGTAACAAGCAAATCATCCAATCTTACCCACTGGGATTTTTTTTTTTTTTTTTGCTAGCTTTTAAGTACTTCTATTCTCATTCTTTTTAACGTAAATAAACCTTAACCATGGCTTAAAATGACGTGGCAAGTTTTTGATCTTAGAATCTGCCACTTTATCTGTCAAAACTGAGGCTATTGGGGCGCCTGGGTGGCTTAGTCGGTTAAGCGTCCGACTTTCGCTTAGGTCATGATCTCGCGGTTCGTGGGTTCGAGCCCCGTGTCAGGCTCTGTGCTGACTGCCAGCTCAGAGCCTGGAGCCTGTTTCAGAGTCTGTGACTCCCTCTCTCTCTGACCCTCCCCTGCTCACGCTGTCTCTCTCTCTTTCTCCTAGGAAAAAAAAAAAAAAAAAGAACAGAGTAAACCTATGTATCCTGATACAAAGAGATGTTCGAAGTATATTATTAAGTGAAAAAACTAAGGTACAGAGGAGAATATATTATAACTCAATGTATGTAAATTTTAAAATGAAAAATATGCTGATATAGCCAATTTTTTCCCCTCAAAAGACGTTCAGGGAATCATTAACAGGAGTCCTCAAGGAGGACAGTAATTGGGCTAGAAAGAAAGCTTTTAGTTCAACTGTATACTTTTCTGCATTGTTTAAATTTTATTACCAAAAGCATTTGTTACTTTCAATTTAAAAAATCAACAGGGAGAGGCGCCTGGATGGCTCAGTCATCTGACCTGTCTCTTGATTTCAGCTCAGGTCAGATGTCATGGGTTTGTGAGAGGGAGCCTCGCCTTGGGCTCCATGCTGACAGCACCGGAGCAGGCTTGAGATTCAATCTCTCCCTCTCCCTCTGCCCCTCCCCTTAACCCCCCCCAAAATAAATAAACTTTGGGGAAAAAATTAACAAGGAAGGGTGCCTGGGTGGCTCAGTCAGTTAAGTGTCAGACTCTTGATTTCGACTCAGGTCATGATGTCACAGTTCATGGGATCAAGCCCTAAGTCAGCTCTACAGTGACAGCACGGAGCCTGCTTGGGATTCTCTCTCTGCCTCTCTCTCTCTCTGCCCCTCCCCTGCACACATGCACATGCACACATTTTCTCTCTCTCTCTCTCAAAATAAATAAACTTAAAAAAAAAAGATTCTCTCTCCCTCTCCTCTCTCTCTGCCCCTCCCCCCCAACACACTCTCTTCCCCTCTCTTTCTCTCTCTCTCTCAAAAAAAAAAAAAAAATCAACACAGGAAATCAGAATACAAACTTCTCAGTCTTTTTTCCCCCCCTTGCATTTTTAAGCATGAAAAATCAAAGAAATGTTTTTTAGTTGCTGGGCACATTCCCCAAAGGAATACATTAAAAAATAAATGGCAGTGTTTTGGTTTTTGTTGGTTTGTGTTTTATAGCAAAGGGGCAAAGGAAGGGAAGGTAGAAGGCTGGTGGAGTGGCAGGCAGCAGGGCTCTCTCTGTGCCCCTGCTCTGTAAGGGCATGTGCACCTTTCAGTCCTTGTCTGAAACTTATTTCTATTAGACAGCTAATATGTTTAAACATAGAACAAGAGTCTCATGAATCTCACTGTCTTTCATTGATCTAGGTCTAGCTGAGTGTCAACTCACTGCTCAAGCCTGCCCATTATTCAGAAACCTAGGGATCTGTGACTCACGATGTGCCTCCTTCATCGTACGGTCCCAGTAGGTGTAGAATAATGAGATCAGATGTCTTTTTCTCTTTGTTTTTGATCCCTAGAGAAAGGAGAACTCTAGCTCTCTACTTGTTCATGAAATTTAAACCTCTGTTAGAATAAAAGTAAAGCTGAGTTCACTGTTACAAATTTTATGCCAAGAATTTACTCCTCCAAATGGAGATTTATTTAGGCTACACATACATTATTCAAAAAAAAAGAAAAAGAGAAAAGAGGGTGAGAAGAAAGATTTCTTTCTCTGATGAATAGAAATAACACTTAGTGTAATTAAGTAGCATAGCAATCCCAAATCTCACAATACAGTGACTTTTATATCTTAAAAAAAAAAAAGAGAGAACTATGTGTAGTTCTTTAAGAAAATTCCTTTCAGGAACGAATGGAGGAGAACACTCTGAATGTTACAAATTTTGCAGAATAGTTTTCTGCTTTGGGGCTTTGTATTTTGAATCATGCATTTATTCCAGTGTGAAGGGTACTGGACCCCGATTCCAATTAAAAGTGATACATGTTTTGATGATAATTTACACATGTTCTGTGCTGCTACCTATTGGCAAATAGGTTTTAAATACTGAATTCATTCCAGGTCTTGATCTTCTCTTGCACATTTATGTAAAAAAGAAAGAATACCCTTTTATACCTTGCTGAATCTCTATTTGGACGCTGATTATTTAGAGCCCCAGGATTTACTTGCTTACCACCTTTGCTTTGGTTGCTCTCACTGTGTCATTAAACAAATATTCATTCAATAAACGTTTACTGAGAGTCTCCTCAGTGCCAGGCTCTCAGCCCAACGCTAGGGCATGAGGGAATATAAAGACAACCATATAGATAAAAATATATGATCCCTACCCTCGGACAGGTCACAAGCTGGCAGGCCATGGGCTCTTATGTCCAATGTCCATTCTGATGTTTGTTCAGTACAATCAGGGCCGGGGCTAAAGTAAGGCAAGAGAGACACAGGACAGTATCTTAGCAGACCCCCCCCAGCCCCCTGTCGGGGGTACGCAGATGAAGAGGGGCACTTGAGAGGGAGGGTCTCCACACATTTTGAGCTCTAGGGTTCCTGGTTTCGCCCAAGTCCTGGCTTGCCAGCATCACCTGGCCACCTGGCTGCGTGACCTTCCCACGCGGCCTTGTCTTCTCTTCTGCCACTTCTCTTCTGTCACCCTCAACTTAGCTCCTTTCACTTTCCTGAAAATATCTACACTCAGTGTGTTTTTCATGCCGAGGGCTATGCAATCGTCTCTGTAGCCACCCCATCTAATGACTTCTAGGTCTTGATCAAACCTCACACTGGGGCACCTTGGTGGCTCAGTCATTTAAGCATCTGACTTCAGCTCAGTTCATGATCTCCATTCGTGGGTTTGAGCCCCACATTGGGCTCTGTGCTAACAGCCTGCTTCGGACCCTGTCTCTTCTCTCTCTCTCTGCACCTCTCCTGCTTGTTCTCTTTTTTGGATCCTGTGTGTGTGTCTCTCTCTTTCTCAAAAATTAATAAACATTAAAAAAAATCATACCAAAAGTCTGCCCCAGAGCAAAGAGTCTGATCCATTTCTCCCCATGCACTTGCACTCTTACAACGGACTTTATCACTAGCCAATTCGTATGCAAATTATTACATAGGAACCCACCTCCCCAGCCCGGGGTTGTGAGCCTGTGGAAAGCAAGACCTGTCTTCCAGTCTTTGCGGGAAGTCACTCCAAACTCGAGGCCCCCAGCACAGTGCTTTACAAACGGCAGGGGTCGTCGTCCCTTCAGGTAGCTATAACAAGTTACCATAGACAGGGCGCCTTAACAAGAAACATCCATTTCTCACAATTCTGGAAGCCAGAAGTCCCAGATCAGATGCGAGCAGATGCAGTGTCTGGTGGGGGCCTGCTCCCTGGTTTGCAGACCCCGTCTTCTCGCCGTGTGCTCACATGCTGAGGGCAGAGAGAGGAAGCGCGCTCTCTCTCGTCTCTGCCTGTCAAGGCACCAAGTCCTTTTCCTGAGGGCTCCATCTCATGACCTCATCACCTCGCAAAGGCATCTGGGCATAGGGTTTCAACATATGAATTCTGGGGGGACACAAACAGTCCATAGAGTGGGTTTTTAGCAAATGACTCCCCCATTTATCTGAATCTTCACAACCTTCAGCACATTTTCACTGT